GCCCTTTTTTTCAATTCTGAGTGTGAATGTTATTATAGTTGTATTATTTTTCTCTTGCTATATAGCCTGGTTTCTCCGTTTGATGCCTGATAGTTTGTAATGATTGATTATTATTATTATTATTATTATTTTGACCGGGTTTGAGACTCAGTTAATTCTGCATTGTTAATGTAAAAAAATTCTATGGAGATGGTTGGCAATTAAACAGTAATGTACTAAGGTGACCTGATCTTTATCAAGATAGATAGTTTCAACAATTCACCACATAGGTCCCAGTGGTATAAATTGGTCTGGTTCAAGCACCTAATTCCAAATCAATCTTTTTGCATTTGGATTGCAATTAACGGAAAATTAACATTCGGTTTTGTTTTCATTTTTTTATTTATTTACAAATCATTTTCCAATGCCATAATAATCCGTCACCTACTTGAAATTAAATTGGAAAAGCTGAGAAAGAATTCAAATTCAATTACATAATAATTATCCAACCATACTCCTATTAACATAGTAAATGTTATTAGACAAATGACTTTGACATATGTAGCAACTTCAACCATACTCATGTCATTAACATATTATTATTGTGGCATGAATTGTGGACAATAAACAGTAATTTAGGTGTATTTTCTTTATTTAGGCATTGTTGCCAGACCAGCAAGAACCTTATTGCAAGTATAAATAGAGAGATAAAAGAGGGAGGAGAAAAAAACAGTGTGGTTTTGACAAGTGCCTCCAATAAAAGATTAATCGAGCTTCCAATAAAAGATTAATCTTTATGGCGGTCTTGTTCAGAGTCACCATTCTTCTCTTTGTTGTCTCTCTCTTATTTCTTCATGGGTATGCACACAAACCTGCTCCTAATGCAGGAAAGCCGGTAAAACAAGGCCCTGTGGGTAAAGTTAAAAAAGCAGTTCCTCGTGTTGCGGGTAAAAAACCAGTTGCAGCTAAAAAACAAGATCCATTAAACCCCCGTGGAAGTTTTCCAGTCCCTGTTGCAGCTAAAAAAGCAGGTGCTCCTGCTGCAGTTAAAAAACCAAATCAAAAAGTTGGAGGTAAAAAACAGAAGAATTAAGCCCAAATGGAGATCGTCCAGTTGCAGTTAACTCCAATCAATTATTAAATTGTATGTGCTTAATTCTATAATAAATTGTATTGAAAAGTGTGTTTCCTCTTGCGTTTCGATTTTTGAAGATAAGTGTATTTAATTACATAATTAAGATGTCTGCTGAATTATGTATCAAGAATTCATTGTTTTGGATATAATGAATTGAAAAGAGGTTTGTTACGTCTCGAATTTTAGGAGGTGATAAAAGAAAAGAAAAGAAAAGGAAATAATAGCAAAAGAACACATACAAACTTGATACAAAAAAAAGGATCGAATAGGAGTTTATGAGAACAATAGAAAAATAAATGACAAGAAAAATAACTAAGCACACACAAAAACGAGATAAGAATTTACGTGATTCGGCTATGCCTACATCCACGGGGAGGAGACAGAATAATATTTCACTATGGAAATAAAGAGATACAAGACAAAGTGACTCACACTCAAAACCCAATTATACCCAAACTCTCTCACCCACTAACTGATATTACAAACTCACTCAATTGATTTGGGATGCTTCAACACTATGGAGGGCAAGGCTATTTATGGCAAAAATGGGACACCAAAATAAGGCTACTTGGTGACCACTCAAAAGACTTGCTGGACACACATTCTTGGACACCAAGAATAAAGCTTGATGAACACATATACTTGGAGGCCAAGAAGATGATGTCATGGGTGATGCAAGCCTCAAATTGAGCCACATGTTCAACAAAACTTAATATGATGAAATAATTAAACTCTTATAATATTAAAGGTAAACCATCTCGGCAATGTTACAACATTTCAAAATTAAAACAAACAAACAATTACATTATTTTTATCTTCTAATAAAAAACTCTCTTAAATCATAAATTTAAAATTAAAGACACATCTTAATTGTAAGACTCCTTGTGCAACAAGAACACCACCGTTGGGTGAGTTCCTTGAATTCTTCATTATCCAATTTTATCGAACCTGCAAAATATTGGGGTGAGCACGACCTCCTAGTAGGAAAAATTCTCTAAATTCATATATACATATAATAAGATAAATTTTTTAAGTACATTATTAGAATTTTAAGGACATTTCAAGCATATTTATTATATCCATGCACAAGGAACTAAGAAAAATTTAAATTTGAACTATGTAGCAATTAATATCAATTATCAAATAATAACATCGATTCTCAACATCCAAGTTAATTAAAAATATTCCTGACATGTATACCGCACACACCAATGGATTCGTGGTCATTCTTCGGCGCACTACTTACCCCCAGTGGCGGACACAGAGGGGGGCTTGGGTGGGCTTGAACACCCCCTCCCAAAAAAAAAAAATTTATTTTTTAGTATAGTATGTTCAGCCCAATTTTTTTTTAAAAAAATTTTTAATAGTAGTATTAGCCCCCCTTTTAACCCATTCAAAAAAAATTTGCTTATGAAATTGTGTAATTAAATTTATGTTCAATACTAGCCCCCCCATTGATAATTCATGGATTCACCCTTGCTTACCCCCGACTAAAATTCTAGAATAATTCTTTAAACCCAAGTACTTCCACTCCTTTTTTTCATCCTGTATATAGGTATGAGTATACACACCAATACACAATCCGTATACAAATACTTAACATACAAACTTTGTCAAATTTTCACAAAATGAAATTCTTCATGGTATCCATCAACATGAATCATACTACTAATCATGCCTTACAAGTACTAGGTCCATCATACACAAACTTGGAGTTAAAACCATCATATCTTGACCCGCAATATGCCATGTTTTTTTGAAGAGAAATGAGTTAAAACCATCAGGTCCAGCTGATGGTTCTTTCAGCAACCAGATCATGCATTGACATGCATGTTGATGTTATCCCTCATGTAAACTGTTAGAACCGGATCACAAAATGACAATATATTCGATGTGAAGATGAGATAATCACATAAATATAATATGTGATTGTTGACACCCATTTTGGCATTTGGTTTATAGCCCAATCACGGATCCATAAATCCGAATGACCTCAACACCCATTTTGGTAATTTGGATTTGGGCTCTAATTGGGCTTGATAAACATTAACATGGTATTATGGGCCAAGAGTATATGGGCCTGATAAATGATGATGTTCAAGAATTTGGATTACACAGAAATTGGGCTGAAGGGATTCGGATCAACAAATCAGTTGAAACAAGGCTTATCAATGTTATGCATGAAAGGATTACAGATAAAGGAACAGTGATGTGGCAGGTTTTACACAGAGCAAAACTGCACACAAGGGCTTATTGATCGGATAGGAATAGATACGAAAATTTTTAAAATCTTTTGAGACACTTTATGTTAGGTAGGATTTATATGATTACCAGATTTTAGTTAGGAATTAATCTTTATCTAGGAATATCAATTTGAGTTTGAATTTAGTAGTTAGTAAGAGTTTTATTGTAATTAGAATGCTTATTGGTAGGAATTTGTTTACAATATTTTCTATAAATAAACAAAGAGGCATGTTGTACAAGGGGTCCAACACCCTCAGAATCCTTATTATTTTTTGTTTGCTTCTTCAAGCCTTTCTAAGAATAGCATCCTTGCTATTTCTTCTTCATCTATATCTCTCTATCTCAATCTCTCGATATCTCTCCTCTCTCTTTCTTTATTCTTTCTTTATTCTTTCCCTTTCTTTTCTTGTTATTTCTGTTTTCCTCCCTTTTCTATTCTCTTAATCTTTACTATAATTTATTAATTGAAAAGTCCTTTTAACTAAGGCAGTTCTTGAACTCTAAGAGGAGTATTACTGTTCTCTTTATCCTCGCATTGTTTGAAAGTCAACCCTTGAAAGAGACTACAAGTTGACAATTTACAATCGAACCATATATTTGGTTCTGGCACGCCCGTTTACCATTCAATTCCAAATCGGATCTTAGGAGCCGATTTTAGCGTCAACATTTTTGGCACGCCCGGTGGGACCCATCAGGTGAGTAATTATAGTAAATATGCCTCCAAAGTTAAGAAATTCGAAAGGTGTGACAACAGTTGACAATGCGAACAAGGAGAATCAGTAACTCGGCGTTGGTGATGACGTCGATTCATCTATTCCATCCGATCTTCCTTTAGGTCGGGTACTGGAATCGATTATGCAGAAAATTATTGCCCAGCAAGCACAGATTGGTGAAGTACGGTCTCAGGTGGGGGAATCAAATCAAATTTTAGTTTCTTAGATACATGAGATAAGGTCGATGACTAAGAGAATTAAATCAGATGATGTACGCTCAAATGGAGAAGATGAATCAGAGGCTTGAAACCAGTTTATCGGCTAATCAAAATCGACATGATCAAGCCGAAGCCTCCTATATTAATGAGTCCATATTTCAACGTATGATAGCACCATTGATACATATTTCCCAAGGGCCTCGAACAAGCATTGTACTACCAAGTGCAGGACTTGGTATTACCATCGGCAATATGCCGAATCATACATTTGGCATGCCAATGGGGAATCCTCCAATTTTATCAGATGCGTTGGCAGTAAATACTGTGTTGGTGTACCAGCCACCAATGAATGATCAACATAATCAGAATGTGCAGCGTCCACATGTGCAGCCGATTCCACCAGCAAGGGATCAGCAGGAAGTAATAGGTAACCTAAACCAAGGCAGGGCTAATCCATTGATACCTCCAACGGCTGCTGGGGGGCAAGTAAATGCTGATCATCAAAGGGAGTGGGTTAATCCATTCATTCCTCGACACCCAAATGATCCTCCAGGAAGAAATGCAGGGATTGATAGGGCTTAGATTCTGGATTTAATACAGGCTGAAGTAGCATAAGGTCATAGACGTGCTCGGCCAGTATACAGAAAGCCCTATCCCGATCATGTCGATGCCCATGAGTTGCCTAAAAATTATCGGTATCCCGATTTTTCTATGTACAGTGGTGAAGAAAATTTCTTTACGGTGCAGTATATTGAAAGGTTCATCGCACAATGTGGAGAAGTTGGTCCTAGCCCTTGGTTGAGGATGATATTATTCTTTAGTTCTCTTACCGGGGCGGCGTTTGAATGGTATAGCAACTTACCAGCCAACTCTATCCAGACTTGGGATGAAATGAAGGAAGCCTTCCATACCCAATTCTACCGAACAGAGACAGAAGCTACACTGGCAGACATATCTCGATTATCTCAGTTGCCGAGTGAATCGATTGAGACTTTTGTTGCCAGGTTCAGAAAGGTTAAACTCAAATGCCGAGTAAGTTTGCCAGAACCAAAATATATCAAGTTAGCATTAAATGGTTTAGACATTGAGCATCGCAAGAGGTTTGATGGGGTTGAGTTTTAAGATCTTTTTGATTTGGTGGACAGGGCTTCTCGGTATGAGGAAATACTAAAAGAAGAGAAAGAGAGAAAGAATTCTTCTAAGGGTACTTGGTATAAGGACCCTAATTATGAGGTATTCTCGGCAGAAGTTGGAGATGCATTAGAGGTTGACGTTACAGAAGTCAATATCAAAAAGCCATACGTTTGTGAAGCGTTAGTTAAACCTAAACCGACCACAGGGGGTAATTCATCAACATCAACATCGGCAGCAAGGAAAGGTCCTACCGATATCGGGAAAAGCTATTCTTTCGACTTGTCAAAAACATATCAAATCTTTGATCACTTGATGGCCGATAAAATGATATCTTTACCTAAAGGGCATAGGATTCCATCGGCAAGTGACTTGAAAGGAAAAGAGTATTGTAAGTATCATAACTCTTGGAACCATGCTACTAATGATTGTACTGTTCTACGAGGTGTGTTGCAGAAAGCTATTGACGAAGGCACTTTAAAATTCCCGAGAAAACTTTAGAGACAATGAAGGTGGATACTAATCCGTTTCCAACAATCACAACTACAAATGTGATAAGCTTAGCCAATCGAGAGAATCGGCATGAGGCTGAAAAGATATCTGGTGAGTTCCTTTCATCAACTGCGACACCTGAAAAGATGGCAGAATTGCAGAAGCAATTAAGGGAGGCTCAATTAGCCTTGATTGATCATGGTTGTTGCCCGAATTGCAAAGGAAAGCAAAAACCAAAGGAAGATGTGCCAATAGGGGTTCAACTAAAAAAGAAAGGAATTCTTGAGAGGCTTATTGTTTCATTGAAGCCTGAGGAGGAGCCTCGGCAAGGTGGTTCCAGCAATAACCATTTGAAAGTAGGAAGGCCAATTTGGCTAGTTGATATATCCAGCCAATTTCATTCCCAAAATTGGCATACCAGTTTTAAGAGGTAGTCGCCGGTTCAGTCAGAAATTTGGGTACAGAAAGGAGCCGATTCATATAGAGTACGAACTGTGAAACCAAGGATAGACTCGATTGAAGATAGATGGACTCGAGTTAATCATCCAAAGTTCCCTAAAGCTCAACAATCTCAGAATGGGGGCCTAACTTGATCTCAGAAGCGTAGAGAACAAATGAGAAGGGCTGAGGAAAAAAGAAAAGCTGAAGGAGGAAGTAAGGTAATGCAAGCCGAGGTTATCGGCATTCGAGATAAAGATAACCCGGATGAAGAGCATCAGCCGACGTAGCCTAGACGTAACAACGAATTTAGAATTCAGTTTGGTAGTTTCCCAGATGAGATGTCATGTAACATGGCATTTATATTACCAGCAATGTTCCAGGCTCCATCGGTATCAAATGCAAATACTGAGAAGAATGAGAAGGAAACTCAGCCGATTCAGAATTTATCAATCCTTTCTTTAGAATCGGCAGAGAAAGTGGTTTCTGAAAAACCTTTGTTAGCAATGACTCAACAACTCAGGCCTTTTTATGTTAAGGTATGGGTAGAAGGTCAACCTGTTAATCGAGTCTTGGTAGACAATGGCTCGGTTCTGAATGTTATTCCAGCAAACACATTGAAGAAACTTGGCAAGAGTATAGAAGATGTTATTCCTACTGATGTGGCAATTTGTGGTTTCAACGGAGGCTCTACTAGCACTAAAGGGATCCTTCCTTTAGAAGTAGAAGTTGGAGGCAGGACATCTTTTGCGGCATTTTTTATTATTGAATCCACGGCTTCCTATAATTTGTTATTAGGCCGTGACTGGATTTATCCAAATATGTGCATCCTATCATTATTACACCAGATGCTGATTTTTTGGGATGGAGATAAGGTAAAAATAGTAAATGCTGATGATAAGCCATTAATGGCAAAAGTGTACTCGGCAGATGCTGTTTTGTATAACGAAGAATGTGTTCGTATTCGATTTGTGGGAACAAGAGCCGATGGAAGACCAACCTCGGCAACCATGAGAAGAAGTCTTGCCGATCGTGAAATCGGCGAGTTGTAGCAGGAGAATTCCAGGCCGAAGGTAGAACTCTCTCGACATGCTATAATTGAAGAAATTGTTGATGGAAACGAAACTTAAAAGGGAAGTTGCTCGGCAGCAGGCCTTTAGGGCCGCTTGCATTAGGCTACAAGCATACATAGCCAAAAAACGGCTAGAAAAAGAAGCAATAATAGAGCCAGGACCATCGGTTAATCTTATTGAGATCGATCGGTTTAGTAATGAAAAGTTGGATGCAATTCAGTTAGAAGACTTGGAGTTAGCACCAGCTAAGCTCGATGATCTTAAAGCAGAAACTCAGGATCTGTTGAAGGAGGTGAATTTAGGCACTGACGTAGAGCCTAGACCAACTTATATCAGTGCAGTATTAGAACCAGAATTATAAGCTAAGGTTATCGGCATGTTGAAACAATACAGTGACTATTTTGCTTGGAATTATGAGGAAATGCCGGGTTTATCAAGAGAATTGATGGAACATCGGCTACCCATTAAAGATGGCTACAAGCCATATAAACAGCCACCTCGTCGAATGTCTCAAGAGGTGGTAAACAAAGTCAAGGTGGAAATCGAAAGATTGTTGGATGCTGGCTTCATTCGAACTACAAGGTATGTTGAATGGTTATCAAATGTTGTCCCTGTTATCAAGAAGAATGGAAAATTACGTATATGTGTTGATTTCCGAAACATAAACTTGGTAACTCCAAAAGATGAGTATCCAATACCGATTGCCGATAAACTGATTAATGCGGTTGCAAAGCACCAAATTATGTCTTTTATGGATGGACACTCAGGTTATAATCAGATTTATATAGCCGAGGAGGACATTCCAAAGACAGCTTTTAGGTGTCCTAGATTGTAATACCCCTAATTTCAAAAGGGATAAAAATATAATTTAAATTTTATTTTTGTGCATTTTAAATTGATTTTGTATCTATATGCTTATGTGTCCAATTGTTTGTTTATTTTAATTCATTGTGTTATTTTTTTAATTGTTTGTTTATTTTAATTAAGGGTGTAATTCTTTATTTGTTGGTTTATTTTAATTAATTGTTTTATTTATTTTATGTGTTTTAAGTGATTCGTTGCTTGCTTATTTGATTTAATTAATGGGTTTTATTAAATTAATTATTTATTAAGTATTTAATTTTTGAACAGGGTAATTATGTAATTCCCATTAACTAGGGTTTTAGATACGTTTTAGTTAGGGTTTTTGGAGCCGTCTCATAAGCATCTGATATGTAACTAAACTGGGTTACTTTGTGGGCCGACGAAGTTAGGGCTCTGTGGATTAGGGTTTTCATCTTGCAATTATAAATACCTCAGTATATGTTAAACCTAGGGTTACATATTGTCGTAGCTTTTACACGGAAAAGTCTACCAAATAGAGAGAGTTACAGAGGGAGTTTTGGTGAGAACAGAGCAGTTTGCGAGAATTTCGACTGGGGTTCCAAGGTTTAACCAAGGAGAAGGAAGGAGCAGAGGTTCTAGGAGGTTAGACAAGTTTCAGTGGATGTCGGAAAAACTGAGACCAACGGCAACAAGGGTTTGTTTGCAAACCTATTCAGGCAAGTTCTATCTTCCTCTTTCCCTTTGAGCCGTGTTCTGTGCACCTAGATATGCTCTAGGGTTTTAAGGAAATTAACAACTAAATCATTCATGTATGTTATACATCAAATTAATCATATGTATGCTTTGAATTATTTCTGTGATGATTTCTGCAATATCTGTTACAGTGCCTGCAAGTTGGTTCAGTTTTATGTCCTTTAAGCATGAGGGTTCTTGTCGTAGTTTTTGTCTCTATTTTTTTTATTGCAACTACTGTAAACTAAGTATGGAAAGACTACGGGAGTTATGTAAATCTCATAGGAAGGTTGCTATTTCTGTTTTAGATCTCTGTTGCATTTTGCTTCGTTGTAATCCATGCATGAGGTTTCAGTTTTTGCACAAGTTTACTTCTGTTCATTGATTTAAATTGCTATAATCAAACCTTGGGGATGCTATTAGGAGGGTGTTAGATCCTTTAGATCAGTTTAAGAAACAAGCAGAGGGGTAGGAATTGATCGGAGAAGGGGCAGATTGACAGAAACGGAGCAGTGATGAACTGGAGGCTCTCAAGAGGGAGAGAGCCGGCTCTAGGAAGTCAAGAGCCGGCTCCCCTTCAGCAAGAGCCGGCTTCTAGGGAATTGGAGCCGGCTCCAATAGGGGAAGAGCCGGCTCTTCCATTCCAAGAGCCGGCTCCAATTTGTTTTTACGTCCAGAAAGTGTTTTTAGGGCTCTGTTTGGTGTTTTGAGCACTGTTTGAGCTTCTGAGTGATTCTAATGAACTGTAGGGACTTAACAGAGGATCTAAGTAGTTAATTCTAAGTGATATTAAACTTATTGTTGCATAGTTTAAGTCTCTAAGACAAAGGATGAAGCAGTGTAAAAATATACCACGGTGTATGCTACTAACAGAGAAAGGAACTAAATGGCTTGATTAAATTTTAGAAATTTAATGAGACTTCACGGAGGGATTAAATAGTTAATTTTTGGGTGTTATTAAGACCCTAAATTGATTTAAGGTTAATTCTAAATTAACGGATCAAACTGTATAACACTTATGTACATTGTATACGGTTAGTGGATAGAAGAAGTTTTAAATACTTAAGCTTATTTTTAGGCATTCCAGTGGGATTTAATATATTTATAAAATGGTTTTAAATATATTATAGGGTCATTGATGTGTTAGATGTGATCCATGCAGGCTCTGGATGTTAGTTGTTGATTTATTAAATCATCTCCTGCAACTATATGGTTAATTATTTGGATTTAAATTGCTGAAACACTTAAAAATCTTCTGTAATTATTTAGATATTGGTTTTGGATTTTAAATTATTGTACTATTATTTATAGCCTGTAATTTACATGGTTTTGGATTTAAGTTATTGGAATACTAAATACTATTCTGCAATGATATGGATGGTTGGTTTTGGACTATAAGTTACGTGCTTATTATTTATGCCTTGTAATTTACCTGGAATTATGTATTGGAACATAATTGCTGAATTCTTATACTTAATTCGGTCAATTATTTGGAATCATATATTAGATTATAATTGCTGAATTCTTATATTAAATTTGACCAATTATTTAGAATTATGTATTGGATTTTAATTGCTGAATTCTCACATTAAAATTCTGTCAATTATCTGGGTTTGGTTTTGCATTGTAAATTACTTGCTTATCATTTGAATGTTGTAATTTACATGGATATGGAGGATGGTATGCACCGGTATGGCACGGTGGCATACTAGGTATGGTTTAGCTCAAAATGCTAATTCCTACCTTATGGATTTTAATTGGTGAACAGTATGACTGGTTCTATCAATTATATGGACTTTGTGGATTGTATGCACCGGTATGGGACGGTGGCATACTAGGGACAGACTGATTTAAAATACTCAGTCCTACCTATTTTGGAATAAGGGAACGGGTTGTTAAATAAATCCTCCTTATATATATATAAGTCGGTACGGTTGAATA